CATGTTAACATTCGTACTAACATTTACATACACTGGCCCAGTTGGTGGCCACTGCTACTGCTCAGGGCCAACATGTAAACATCAATAATATGTAAGCAGCAGCACCACCGCAGCTAATTACACACTATTGATGTTTACATCCCTCTCTGATGATCCATTCGTGTAGTGTCTTTGGTCATTTAGAATTGGCCTAGGCCAGGAGTCTTTAAACTTTCTAAGCAAAGGGCCAGTTCATTGTCTTTCAGGCTTTAGAGGGGCAGGATTATGGCCAGTGGGAGTAAAAAATGCCCGAGCATCAGTGCCCCATCACTGGTTTTAATGGGAGTAATAGTGCCCCGTTGTTGCTATCAATGTTAAGAATAGTGCCCCATTAATGGTATCAGTAGGGGGAATGCTGCCCCATCATTGGTGTAAATTCGTGGAATAGTGCCCCAAGTGCCAGATAAAGGCAAGCAGAGGGCCACATCCAGCCCCCAAGCTGTGGATCAGAGACCACTGGGCTAGGCCATTCTGAACATCTGAATGGAGGAGCTGCACAGTAAGTGACCTGCTGTGATTGCTGTGCTACAGCCTTGGCTGTCATTTGTTTAGCCAGAACATCCGTGATGACATTACCATCAGATGCTTTTTGTAAATTTTTCAAGAAAGAAGTAGCAACCACCAGTGGGGAATACCTCATTAGATGTACCTTATTGGTACCCATCTAATGCTCTGATAATGTTTTTTCCACACGCCATTCTCAACCAGGGTACTATGGAACCTTAGGGCTCCTCCATGAAGGGTTAGAGGTTACTTGAGCTGTAGCTAACTGATCTCCCATCTGATGGTGCCTGCATAGCTCCAGGTCCAACGCCAATTGGCATAACCAGCAGTATGCCTGAAAGGGTGTCATTCTGGACATCCCTGTATGGGAGCATTCTTACCACTTACCATCACCAGTTTTCCTAATAACCCCCAATGGACTAATCTAATATTAGAGGTTCCTGAGGACTGAAAAATCTTTTAAGTGTTCTCCTGGGGTAAAAAAAAGTTGGGAAAGGCTGCTTTAGGTGGTAGAGAAGTAAGGTGTAATATCTTAGGCAGGCCATAGATGGGCCGTTTATTGGCTGAACTTTCAGCCGATAAATTAAAAATTGAGCGGCCCTGTTGCCAATGCTGCCACCCATGTCTGCGAAAAACGGACGTTTTTCGCAGATTTTCCAGCATGACCGATAAAAATAAATGAGGAGATCCGTGAAAAATGGCCGACGGGCTGGCCCCACTAATGGCGTAATTATCAGCCGATTTTTCGTGCGTGCGCGGACAAAAATTTGGACGATAAACGACTTGCCTATGGCCTGTATTACTCATCACTCCCTCAGTGGTTGATCCCTCACTAACTCATGTACAATGCAGGGATATTGGTCCTGCATTGGGTTTGATAACATAATGGTGTGATTGCCACCTCAGGCTTTGGGGGACCAGTCACAAAGATGGAGTCCCTGTTGGAGCAAGGAGTGTAGTGGTATTACACCTTATTTTCATCCCCTAATGAGCATTTGACTGCAATGCGGGGGACCCATTGTATGTGTTGTTTTTTTGTTTTTTTCCCAGAGTTTGGCCTTAAGTTGACCATTACTGCCCTATACATGCACAGACTTATAAATTAAATAATGCAAGGAGGAACATGCAGTAGCCCATAGCAAACAATCAGGGGGTTACTGGGTTACCTACTGATTGTTCTTTGCTCCCTGCAATGTTACTAATAGGCAAAAGCTGATGGAGAATTTAGAGCAACTAAAGTGTGCCAGTAAGTGTCAACAGGCTGACCAGTTTTGTGGATTGCCTTCAATCCCAGATACACATGGAATCACAGGGTCAATAAAAACAACCAATGCAATAATTAATGGATACTCTGCATCAGAGAAATTCCAGACTGGCTAAGTTGGACATTTTTTCCCAGTCTACTTTGTCAATGCATTGTTAGCCAAGAGCGGTGATTAACCAGTAGTCTTGCACAGTGCACTTGTAGAATACATATGTACATGCCTGAGAACACATTGCAAAAAAAATAGCAGCAGAAAATGTCAAAAATAAATAACTATGTGTGCTTAAAAGGGGACAAATATAGATATGGTCTAAACTGAAAACACTTGTTCCTACAGGGCAAAGATCATCCTAGTGAGGCCCAGCCACCATCATAAAACAAGACTTAGTATGTGTTAGTTTTAGGAGTGCTATTAACGTATACTAGGTAAAATATGTAGGCTGCAATCTGAACAGCATGAAAGCCTGGACACTGACATTTTCAGGAGAGGTCAGCAGCGATGGCCTAAATATTCCCCCAAGCACTCTTTTAAAGTGGACCTGAACACAAAAAGTGAGGGTTTGCTGTGTTATAGGTAATGTTTAGAATTGGTAATTGTGCCTAAGCAGCACTCTGAAAATCTACTTTGTCTGGAATTCCTCCAGGGCCAGATCTAGATGGGTGCTGGTATGGGTTTTGCCCCCCCCCCCCAAGATTTTAGTGGTGGCCCCCCAGGAACAATGATATTGCTAAGAATAGAGGCACTGTGGGGCAGAGTACAGCCTTGGCAGAGCCAAGTTGGCATGGCTACACAATGCCTTACCCCTATCCACTGCACTGCATCATTGGTTTCCATGGTGGGGGCAGACAAGGATGTATAGTATCATTCTTTGCTAATTGTGAATGGGGGACTATGTTGTGAATTTGGGGGAGCTCTGTTGTGATGGAGAAATGGGGGGACTCTATTGCGATGGGGGGACTCTGTTGTAATAGGGGGGTTCTGTTGTGATGGGGGGACACTCTGTTGTGATGGAGGTGTTGTGTGTTAACAATATGCCCCCCTGACTTTTCTACTTTCCCCAGACCAGACAAACTAGATCCAGCCCTGAATTCTTCCTAAGAAAATCACAGTGCAATTCCCAGTTTGTCTACAATATCATAATTGTGTATCTGCAGGGTGAGACTGAAGGTACTGCTGCTTCTGACTGCTAACATAATTAGATTTGGATTTAGTCAAGCCAATACTCTGCTGCTCACTGTTCTTTTTGCTGACTGCTCTGACATGGGAAAGCTAAGCCCTGCCTTTTCCATGATGGTGGCCCCCACACTGAGAAACAGCACAGAACAAGGCATGGTAAACCAGTAAGGGGGAAAAGACCAGCTGAAGGGAGATGACAGGTGATACTAATGGATAGCCATTTGCCCTCTGCTTGCCACAGCCCTGAAATTTCAATTTAAGGGATAATTTAAGCAGGTGAATTTTGTCCGCTGGCCAAATTTTTTTGTGGGCTGCTCTCCTGTTAAATGTCCTTCCTGGAAAATTGTCAGCCGATCCAATCAAATTCAGCCATTGTTCGGGAATTCTGACAACCACCAGTGCCAGCTGTCAGAATAGAATAGTGCTGTGCTGTATAGCATGGACGGATAGCTTATGTACCCCTCTGTGAAGACGATGGCCTTCCATGGTGGTCTTTACATCCTCAGCTCTTCAATGGCCCTTATTGTCGGCTGTGTATTAATGCTATAGACTTGGATGGGGCCATACTCCTGCACTAGAGAAGATAGGAAGGCAACTCCATCCAAACCTACCAGGAGTTACTGAGTGAAGTTGTTCTTTAAAATAAACCTGTGGCTATAAAATACATTTTAAAGACACTAACTTTGGACAGTACCCACCTCCAGGTTACTACACATCACACTGGATTCCCTATAGAGGGAATAGTTATTAGAAATCAATTGGGAAAAACACTATCCATGTGGTCACCAGTAGCTTACATAGACTTGACAGCACTTAGTATTACGCAGAACTATCAGTTATATCTGCCCTTGCCCATCATACCCATCGTATTCACAGATATCCTTTGCCTATTCCAACCTTGGCTCTTTATTTTCTTGGCTCTTTTTTTTCTTGGCCTGAAAGGACGAAGGGCGTACTGTGACGTCTAAGTAAGACTTTGTAGAGCAGACTGGACCACTTACAACGTACATGCTGCCATTGTTCAGTACTGCCAGTCACAAACCATTGCATATAGCTAGAGATCTTGCTTCTACAGATACTTATGACTGTGCCCAAAGTACACATTCTATTACACTGTAACATTAGATGTTATATTACAATGTAGCATTCAACTGGCTCTAACAAATTCTGTGGAAACTTTACTTTTATTAGTGAACTGCTATCCAAGAGCTTTTAAACATGTTGTTTAACACCTCTGTTTTCGTCACTGTCCTAATTTTACTTTTCACTTAGCTTTTCTTTTGTTATTATTAATAGCACAAACTGGGGCACTCTGCTGATTTAGACCTTCTGGTGCATACACAGGGAAGATTGCACTTCTGTGATGGAAAGATGGATAGACGGACGGACGGACGGACGGACGGACGACGGACGGACGGACGGACACGGACAGACAGACAGACAGACAGACAGACAGACAGACAGACAGATAGATAGATAGATACTAGATAGATAGATAGATAGATAGATACTAGATAGATAGATAGATAGATAGATAGATAGATAGATAGATAGATATAGATACTAGATAGATAACATAGGTTCCTTTGTGTACGTCTATCAGTTATTGCATTTGTCTAATATACCATATTACAGATATATCAATTTCTGTCGGGATCGAAATATAGGATTCAGGGTTGGCATCCTTAACCCTGTATCACTACTGACTGCTTGATTACACTAGCAATTGGAAGGTTGAGGGTGGTACAACCATAAGGCTGAGCTGCATTTTGCAGTCCCTCCAGTGCTTCCCCTGTGACCCATTCAAGTGAATGGGGCAGCACTGCAACAGCCCCACAACTGTGTAAAATGCACACAGTTGCACCAGGTTAATGCAGCATTTAGGGTTAGTAAAGCAGTATTAAATCAAAAGAAAAAATGTATTCAATTTGTTTCTTTTTAGGATTTCATTCTTCTATTTTCATCTTATGATCCAGCCAACAAGTCTGCTGTTTTTCAAAAGCACAAGCTCTCTAGCAGAATGTACACTATATTGCCAAAAGTATTGGGACGCCTGTCTTTACACGCACATGAACTTTAACGCAATCCCAGTCTTAGTCCGTAGGGTTCGATATTGAGTTGGCCCACCCTTTGCAGCTATAACAGCTTCAACTTTCTGGGAAGGCTGTCCACAAGGTTCAGGAGTGTGTCTATGGGAATGTTTGATCATTCTTCCAGAAGCACGTTTTTGAGGTCAGGCACTGATGTCGGAGGAGAAGGTCTGGCTCGAAATCTCCACTCAATTCATCCCAGAGGTGTTGTATTGGGTTGAGGTCAGGACTCTGTGCAGGCCAGTCAAGTTTCTCCACCCGAGATTCGCTCATCCATGTCTTTATGGCCCTTGCTTTGTGCACTGGTGTGCAGTCATGTTGGAACAGGAAGGGGCCATCCCCAAACTGTTCCCACAAAGTTGGGAGCATGAAATTGTCCAAAATGTCTTGCTATGCTGATGCCTTAAGAAACCTTCACTGGAACTAAGGGGCCAAGCCCAACCCCCGAAAAACAACCCCACACCATAATCCCCCCTCCACCAAACTTTACACTTGGCATAATGCAGTCAGGAAAATACCGTTCTCCTGGCAACCGCCAAACCAAGACACATCGATCAGATTGCCGGACAGAGAAGCATGATTCATCACTCCAGAGAACACGTCTCCGCTGCTCTAGAGTACAGTGGCAGCATGCTTTACACCACTGCATCCAATGCATTGCACTTGGTGACGTAAGGCTTGGATGCAGCTGCTTAGCCATGGAAACCCATTCCATGATGCTCTCTATGCACTGTTGTTGTGCTAATCTGAAGGCCACACAAAGGTTGGAGGTCTTTAGCTATTGACACTGCAGATAGTTGGCGAGTTCTGTGCACTTCAGCATGCACTTGCCCCGCTCTGTCATTTTATGTGGCCAACCACTTCATGGCTGCGTTGCTGCTGTTCCCACTTCCCAATAGCTTCCACTTTGTTATAATACCACTAACAGTTGACCGTGGAATATTTAGTAACAAGGAAATTTCATGGATGGACTTATTGCACAAGTGGCAACCTATCATGGTACTAGGCTTGAATTCACTGAGCTCCAGAGAGCAACCCATTCTTTCACAAATGTTTGTAGGAGCAGTCTGCATGCCTAGATTTTATACACGTGTGGCCATTGAAGTGATTGGAACACCTGAATTCAATGATTTGGAGGGGTGTCTCAATACTTTTGGCAATATAGTGTATGCCCTAACATTTCCCTACCGGCATACTTCCTCCCAGCCAGAGCAGTAAAGCAATGACAGTCTGGGATCCGGCACCTTTCAAAACAAGTCAGCAATATTGTTGTCCATATCTCTATCCTCAATGTTCCCCTTGTTAGAATAGCCAGAAATCTATCCTGGAAACGTAGAAGCTTATCTACACATAACCTTAATTTTAGTAAGATAACTTTGGGAAGTTAGATTGCATTTTTATTGATTTGATAATCTTATGAAGAGAGTATATTATATGTTTTCTTTTTTGTTTTTCTAGTTCAGTGCTCATCTCTTTGTTAGTATATATCCCTAGTACTCGATGCTGGTGATCCAAACCTATTAATACGTTGTGAGTTTGATATAAAATGTTCAGTTATCATGGTATTGCTGCTAAAACATCTATGCACATTCCGGATAGCAGAACATTTTTATTGCTCCATGTTATGCTTTTTGTCTAACAAGGCATTCTAAAGATATCATTCATCAAGGCATCCACCACTATCATTCGCAGGGCAGATGTTATTCATCTGGCAGTCCAGATTGGACATTATTAAATGATAATGTGTTCTTCTGCCCAGCACGTGTAGCTATGCATCTGATAATTTAATTAGCAGAACATTAAACTTCTACACTTGTCAGTCCACACACACAACAATCCTCAAATAATAAAGTCAGATTCAAAAAATGATCATTTAGGCAGCTTCACACATGCATTAAATAAAAGATGCAGGTCCATTTCTGCCAGCCCAGACATCTGGGTGGATCCTGACATTATAGTCGTAAGTCATAAAAACGTAAAGTGTAAGCCTTTAGAATCACTTTAAAGCTTCTTTTGCTATATTTTCATGATCCTGCCAGTAATTCACTTCTTGTCTTAGGGTGGCTATATCCCCCCTCCTCTGTATCTGTGGAGGATTTGGGGGCACCAGAGAATGCGCACTCCCCAGCTGCTGCTCCGGGTGATCATTCACGCACAGAGCCACGGCTTGGCCCCCACCCCCTCTCTCTTCTCATTGACTCACTGGCTGTGACTGACAGCCAATGGCTCCCGTAGCTGTCTCAGCCAATGAGGAGAGGAAGTCCCAGGATAGCCAGGACTCCAGTGCACATCGGTGGATCGAATGGGAGCTTAGGTGAGTATTGGGGGGGTGGGATGCTGCATAGAATACATAAAGGTAAAAAAACCTTGAGCCTTTACAACCACTTTAATAAAAAAGAAAACAAATACAGCCACCACATCTAAAGACTGGCAATCTGCAATATATTATAGGTTAAGGTACACTGTAAGGGTTCCTCCATGTTAAAATGGTGGGGAAAGGATGGTCTTCAACTTACTTTTACTTTCATGATGTTTCTCCCTATACGTGTGCTACAGGATGGATGCCTTTAACCCATGGAGAAGTGCAGAAGACATATGTGAAGCAGCAGCGCCAAGTCTTTTCTGTCCACACATGAGCAGATCTGTCACGGAGAACAACCGAAGGTAATAAATCTACCCATGCTCTTTCTAAACTCTACATCTCTACAACCTTCCTTTTTTATTCATTACAGGTATCTATATAGCGATGATCACTTGCATTGCACTTACATACTGTACATTCACATCAGTCGCTACCCTCATGGAGATTTTCAGAACTTGGTTAGATTTTCTAATAGTGTGGTCAAATTGATGAGTTTTTCTACCAAAGTGAAGATAACAGAAGTTTAGGATGGAAAGTTTTTCTCGAACAAACTAATTTCTAATCATGAACATGGATTTCGCTTGTGAAAAACTATACATATTATAATGAAACCTGTTTAATAAGTCATAGATTCCATTCAAATAGCAGGTTTGGAGGAAACTGTAAAGGCTTTTGAATTAAATTAGTTGACTCAATGAAGGAAAGAAAGAATGTTCTGACAAACAATTTTTTTTGTGAACCTTCAAATGAAAAGCTAGGCCAGCATAAGGCTCCCACATCACATGCATACATACATACATATACTAGGGTCAATTTAGACAGAAACTAATTAACATACCAGCATGTCTTTGGAGTGTGGGAGAAAACAGGAATACCTGGAGGAAACCACACAAGGACAGGAAGTACATGCTAACTCCATGCAGGTAGTGTCCTGCTTGGGATTCGAATCAATGAACCAAGTGTTTGACTCGTTCAATACTACCCTCAGGCATGTGCAGGTTGTAAAAATGTGTATCCTTTTCTATGAGCAAAAATGTGTTATTACATTGCCAACTGTCACGGAATTGCCCAGGACAGTCCCAATTTTTTTCGAATGATGTCCTACCATTGCTCAGTACCAGCCAATGTTCTGAAAATCGAAGATCGGGGTGGGGCAGCGGCAGAAAGGGCTTCCTACTTCTGCAAGAGCTTAAAGCATTTAAAAAGATTCAAAACTTTCCTGGCCCCATTTGCTCAGTGGGAAGGGGGACCGCAGCAGACTTGGGACTATTCTTCCATTTTTGGGAGCAGCGGAGTAATTTCTCCAGCTGATTGATGTAGAAGAAGCCACGACATTAGTTTAATTCAAAGTAGTCTCTGCACTGCAGATTAGCACCCGAAAATGGAAAAGTAGTCCCCAGTCTGCCTGTATTGTTCTCCCATTGAGCGCCCCCAGGATCCGCACTTCTGGCGCCCATGAGGGAACTACTGAATAAGTGTGAATAGTAGAGGATCCTGCCTCGGTATGCGCTGTGCAGCCTTCTTGGGAAAGTTTGTGCCTGCATGAAGAAGGAGCAAGCCAGATTAGCTCTTCCCTGGGGGCACTGCTTGTCTTCTTCTAGGACCAGGTGTAGTAGAGGGGAGGCTGACTGATACTTCTCTGAGTTCTCACTACACAGAATTGATCTTTCAGCTGCAGCTGACAGGGACAAGAGCAGTTGCAGCTGCAGCTGCAAGATCTCTTCTGTATTCTTACTACCAAACTCTCTGATTAGGTCACTCTGATAAGGACACCTGATGGGTACACCTGCTCTATATGGTCACTGTAATGGGGACACCTGCTCTCTGATGGGGTCACTCTGATAAGGACACCTAATGGGTACACCTGCTCTATGGGGTCACTCTGATGGGTACACTTGCTCTATGAGGTCACTCTGATGGGGACACCTGCTATATGGGGTCACTCTGACGGGGACACCTGCTCTATGAGGTCACTCTGATGGGGGCACCTGCTCTCTGATGGGGTCACTTTGATAGGGACACCTGCTCTATGGGGTCACTCTGATGGGGACACACCTGCACCTGCAGTCTCTGACCAACTCCTTTACTACACCTGCAGTCTCTGACCCTCTCCTGTGGTACTCCTGCAGTCTCTGACACTCTTTTGTGGTATTACTGCAGTCTCTAACCCTCTCCTGTAGTACTCCTTCAGTCTCTGGCCTTCTCCTGTAGTACACCTACAGTCCCTGAACCTCTCCTCTAGTGCGCCTGCAGTCTCTGACCCTCTCCTATAGAACACCTGCAGTCTCTGACACTCTCCTGTAGCACTCCTGCAGTCTCTGACACTCTCCTGTAGTATGCCTACAGTCTCTGACCCAGTCTTGTAGTACACCTGCAGCCTCTGACCCAGTCTTGTAGTACGCCTGCAGTCTCTGACCCAGTCTTGTAGTACTCCTGCAGTCTCTTACCCAGTCTTGTAGTGTGCCTGAAGTCTCTGACCTAGTCTTGTAGTGCGCCTGCAATCTCTGACCCAGTCATGTAGTAAACCTGCAGTCTCTGACCCTTTCTTGTAGTACTCCTGCAGTCTCTGACCCTCTCCTGTACTATGCCTGCAATCTCTAACC